GATTATCGCAAAAGCCAAACCATTTCCTCATTTTTCTCTTCTCCCTGGAAAAGTAATATTTTTCTGAAATAAAATAAGCGGATGCGCCAATCAATAATTTTAATATATGTAACGCTTACATGTGAGGTAGGCCAACGACGAATAAATCATGCGGTCATTCTTCAGTTCTGTTTTAAAACTCATGACAAAAGGTAGTCATGAACAAGACAATGAAATGTAGTTCCCGGAAAATTAATATTTATACAAATGACAACTGACTGGTCTTCTTTAATTAACGGGATCGCCATTGTCTAGTTCTCGATGTCCATAGTCATCTGTCTCGTGCGATTTGTCCTCGGTTACTTCTGCCTCATCGTCTCAATTGTGCAGAGGTCTTCAAGTATTGCGCTTGCATTACCCTTGGGTACTAGTTTGTCACTGCTGAAGTCTACCAGTTATCCGTTGGTCGATCATGCGATGTACACCTCCGTATTTCAATTCTAGCTGCACGCAGAAAACCCGAGAGAGGAACATTTTTGTTTGTGTTTTCCATTTCATCATGACAGTGGTTTGGGCTACAAACCATGCTTGCCAGGCATCTCTGACAGAATGACCATTTATCTCTCACACTAGCCCGAATGGTTTCCAAGTGACGACTCTGAGGCTCAACTCGGACCATCATTAGTAAGCTTAGACACATTCAACTCTTCTCCGAAGGTTTCTCTTCTGTACCGGAAAATATATATTCAGTTGCTGCCGTAAGCCTAAAGGTGAACCGTTATCTGGCAAATAATCCAGTAGCGTAAAGACATCGCATCATTCAGTTTTCATGAGCATCATGTGAAAGCATTCATTTTGCTCCCGCCACGGCCATGGGATGGCGTGTTACAATTCGGTGACGTAGTTCTGCGACCCATGTGCAGCAGGCACTTAAATACCATGGAACTATGGACTGCTTTAATAGTCCCCATAGGAGATTAAAAGCCAGGATTCTGAGTAATGTTGTGATGCAACCCATGGGCGCATTTGAAATGTTTAAGCGAAAGTCACTGCCCCGAAAATTAGTCAACAGCGATGGCCTTAGTCAAAACGAATAATATCTTAGTGATGGCGCCAAAAAATATTTAAGCAGATGGTTGGCAATGACTTATAAGGCATAAGGTAATGTAAATAAATCAAAACGGTGGCATTGATTATCGCCTATTCGGCATCTGTGTCTAAAAATTAACGGACTCAAAGTGCTCGTTTCTTCCTCTGCCGAAAGCTCACATTGGAAAAGTGCTGAAGGAATATTTATAACGGCCTCTATTTTCTTAAACTTCAGAAATACCATGCCGTTGACGTAGTTGTGGTTACCGCTGTCATCATATTTACCAAGATGGATCCAATGACGCATCCAATGACTTTTTGGATCGCTGCTTTTCACTTTATCGATGACTCGCAATGTCCGCCTTCATATTCAGCCAGTTCTCGTTCCACCATTTGTTCCAGTTCACTGCTGACCCAGAGAGGACTTCAGTGGCAATTTTAACGGTGTTCCACCAGGTCTATGCTTGCTCGCCTCCAGTCCCATTGAGCTCAAGCGCTCAGGATTTTGGTTTTCGTTTTTGACGGCTTTTCTACACAAATTCACGGCAAATTTGAAACAGTTGAAAGACATATTTCTTGCCTAAAATTCAGTGTTAGCGTTTCAGCCTCTGCAAACAAGCCCTTCTCGTATGGAATCCGATAACAAATTAGCAAGTTAATGATCGTCGGATGCTTAATGACCAACTGTTTAAGGTTGCTGCAGATATCTAGTTGAATACTCTGACTTGATCACTGAGCTCTTTGAATAGCAAATAAACAGTACTTTACATAAATCTGCACTCTTTATTCGCTAACTGCTAAATATCGAATGAAGACATTGCATCGAATTAGGAAACCAGGGCACTAAACCATCTGCAAAATTCTGAGTAATTTCAGGCACGCATAACTTCGTCATTTTTTCAAGTTTTTTACCTCACCTGCCATAAAAGAGCAGGCATGCAATTACTTAGCAGTACAATTAGATAAGCAACGATTCTAAGAGGTGGCTAAATAAGCAGTAGCGAGAAAAAATGGTCAATTTGGAAAGAATCTTTTCCCAAGCGCTTTGCACCCATAGTTCTCGATTATGGTCTTTGGATCGAAAGAGAGCAAAAACTTTTTTAACTATCTTAGGCCGTTGTATGACCACTGTTTAATACTTCTGTTTGGTTCAGTACTGCCGGATCCGGATATCGTTGACAAGTGTGGAAATGGAGTGTTCAGCTCAATATTCAGTAAAGTTGCGTTGCAGTATATGCTGCTATCCTGCTAATCCGATTTTATTAGCATTTTGTACTGTATGAACTGAAACTGATTTGCTGTTCGATACAAGTTAGTAACTTTTCTTTGAAAAGGCATAGTTGCCGGGTTAGTACCGCATGGGGTGTAGAAGGCTTGACCGAGACGTCAGAAGTGTCAGATTAACATTGGGTAATTAATGAAGCAAGCTCAGCGAAAGCGGTTTCGAAATCTATAATTTTCACACGGTCTTTAGTGTTGGCAGAAATTTTTTATAACATATCTGTATATGACAAATATTCAAATTTTAGTCATTTACTGAAAAAACTAACATGCTTTATTTGTGCTTATAGACAACTGTGTTATAAATGCCTTGTTGTCATATTACGGTTCTTGACTGATTGAAGCCACCTTCATCTTCTGAAAAAATTGCGCACTTTCCTTTAATAACGATATATGTATTTCACTGTCATGAAGTTAACACAGGTTGCTCTTGATTATCAATACAATACTAAGCTTGGGCAGCGATGATCCATGCCAAGACACCAGAGACTTTCTCGCTGAAATAATCGGTATACCGTTCTGCATCGAGTGATTCGTCGAAAATCCATTTTTCACACCTTCGTTACCGGTTCTTTAGGTTGTATATCCCAGACAAACGCATATCTGACCGTTGACACCGAAATTGTAGAACAGATACCTGAACATATGTATATATCTGGGTAATACCTAAGACACAAGTGGTCGAGCGGCCGATGAGGAAGAGGAAGCGCACTGTGTTGGCATTATCAGCGAGCAACACATTATTCAAGCTCTTTTTGAGGACAGATGTTGGCAATAGCACACGGCTGCAGATATACTTTTGGAAGATGTTGCTCCATGGCTGGGAGACGGCAGTAACTGATAAAGTTGAAAACTAGAAATGACGGATATGAAGATTTTAAGATCAATATTAGGATTGAAGTGAAAAGATCTTATGTCAAATGATGTTGTAAGAGAAAGATTAGGATATCCAACGAAAGTCATTGACTGGCTGCAAACAAGGCACTTAAGACAGTGCAGCCATTGACAACCAATGGATAATAGCCGCCTTGCCAGGCTGATATTTTGAACACAAGGCATGATACAATTGATTACAAGGTAATCCTCCAACAAGACCGGATGATCTAGTTAAAACTAACACGGCATCGAAAGAAATAAAGAGCGAGCAGGCATTTTTCCTTTTCATGTGGAATGCATATACGCAACCGGTATCGTCTTCTATGCGATGTGATAAGAAACAGAATACTTATCAACTCTGTTATCGACCTGTGCTTATGATTCCAAACTAGCAAAGATTTAGCATCATAAGCTTCTTTATAACGCGCCTGACACAGAATCAGATATAGGTATGCTGCGGGTCTAGAATCCCCAAAAAGTATTTTACGTATTTTCTTCATAAGCAGATTTTCTGCATTATTAACGACGATGCTATCCCAAAGGAGATCGCAACTTGGCGGCCGCTTTACTTAATCCAGTACTGTTTAAGAATGGTTTTGAGACACCCGTGCCGTTCTGCATATTGTCTCAAAGTTGCTCTGTTAATCACCTGATAAACCAGTGTTGTACGAGCTCAAGATTCTAAAGTATCTGACAAGTTCATAAATTCAAAGAAAACGCTGTATGTGCCAGTCAGAATACGACGTCAGTAATACAGTATTTTGCCAGTAAATGTGTCATAATGTATATGGTTGACCGGTTTCTAATTATTTACCACAAAATCTCTCAAACTACCACAATTTGCCCATAACATCGATGTACTTTTGTCTCAAGAAATTCACCTTATAAACCAATTTTGCTATTAGCACTTTTAAGATCTTTGTTAATTTGCTATTTAGCATTCTGAGTTCTACAGAAATCATTACATGACTTTTGAATTGTCTTACGGGAGTGACTAATGAGCACTGTTATTTTGACATCTTGGTTAAGTACCCACGTGCCGTATTAAGCGATGATTGCGCAGTTGAAACAAAATGCAATTTTGGAATGAACAAGTTTCATTGCGTAAAGATTCAATTGCTACGAATTACCTCCAATGATTACAGTAATCTATTGAATCAGTAGGTCGTCAGATCTCACGACTCGACGTGTCAGTGATTTGGAGACGCATGCAAAACGAAACATGAGCATCAATATTTTGTTGAATTTACTCTCAGTTAAATATAAGCATAAAACAAATTATACGGTAAAACAAAGTGCAAATCTGAGGCTAATTTGAACTATAGCAACAAAATCAGTAACGTCCGTTTAGAAGTTAAGTAAAAAGCTACACGGTGAAAGGTAGAAACGGAAAGCAGTTTGCCTATACAACCTCTAAACGTCAATGCAATCCTAGAAACTCCAAATTGAGCATAATTTTAACCTGATATGGAGTTTTCAATCTTCACAGGTTAATGGTAAATGAATGAGGTAAAAAGCTGAGTGTTTTCAGCCGCATAAAAAAAACCAACAACTGTACACCAAACATGTCACTAAATCGAAGCCAGTTGTTGTCATAACACGTAACTTCCGCGGACGGATCGACCGAGGTAAACGCACCACCACGCCTGGCAGAAGAGAACTGACTGATACCGATCGTCGGTCGAAACAGTGGCCAGAGCGCAACGTTCGCCCGTCGGGAACATCGCTCTGGTCACCACCAGTCGCTGGTCAGCCGTCATGTGTTTCTGAGGGTGTCACACGACGCCGAAGCGGTCAGTAATCAAGTTAATAAGCTTCTTCTTGCCTTTGTACATCACTTTCATGTTGTCCAACAGGTTTGAGAAGCGCATGTGTCCGTCGTCGGACAAAATGAACGTCTCCCTCGCCTTCGAGAGAAAATCCAGAAAGTCGTTGTAGTGTCTTGGGCTGATGTGAGTCAACCGCGAATGAACGGTCTCCACGTATGCGCTGACGGCCGCATCCAGCAGTTGCTTCAGGGACGTATGGTTGAGCAGTAGCATTTTGGCGTCGACGTTGGTCTTCGAAGGCACCAGCGCATGGCTGGACGAGAAGGCGCATCGCCGAAGGATGTCCGACAGCACTGTGGCGCACTGAACGTTCTTCACGATCAGACTGATGACGTTTGCCAGCTCCATAGTACCCAGAGAGTGACCGAGGGCGCACGCCCAGTAGACGTTGTTGATCAACGGCGACGCCTCGTCAGCATAGCCGATGCGCGTGTGCATCAGACCCAACAAAGCCATCTTGTACGACTTGCCTCCGAGCCCCAGTTGCTCCATCCTTTTCCCAATGTTGAAAAATTCTTCTGCCTCGATGAAACTGTTCTTTTCGCCAACGTCTACCACCAGCTTGTAGGCTGATTCGAAAGCCGCAGGATCAGTTTCGCCTGAAGCAATCTA